GCAGAGGAGGTTTGTGTGTGTGTGTGTGTGTCTGTGTGTGGTTTTCATCTCTGCAGAGCACCAAGGTGATTTCTCAAATCTAAAGCAACTGAGTGGCCTTTGTTGTGCAACTTTCTGTGATAAACTCAACATGGTGCGTTTTGTAATCAAGGAAATTGGATGATGGATGATAAGCTGCCTCCTCTGTGACATATTGAGAGACATGAGATTTAGATTGATACTGCAGTATAAATACTTTGGACTGTGCTCAATATGGTATTATTAACATATAATATATAATATGTGGATATAGACACTCCACATCTACAAGGCTACATGTTTATTAACTGAAAGCTGGTGTCACAAACTGAGTGTGTGGTGCCTCAAAGATGTGAGAATTTACCACGCGAGGGAATCCTGACAGAAAAATACCACTGAGCTGTCGGAGTTGTAGTATCCATAGTTTCAGGCGACTACCTGCACTTTAAAAATCTCCCAAAATGAACAAGTAAAAGGCTGATGAGTCTGATGTGGCGTGAGGGATGAGTGTGAGTCTGTGCTTGTTGGCAAAGTTGCATCACTGCACATGATATTGTTATTTAAGGAAATGAATTTAATCCTGGCAGGTCTGTAGGTTTATTTCCCTGCATTGAAGGTATAAACAGAAGTCAGCTCATGGTGATGGCTAACACCTGGAACTACAGACTACTGGCAAAGCGATGGCTGTATGTATGTATTACTACATCACATACCCATTTATCACACTTTTCTTTTACCACTTGAAACCACCGCTTTGTTGCAGCTCACTCTGACAACAGCAGCACAGAGATAAAATGAGATGTACGAAAGCTAAGCATGAGGTTAACGGTGCAATCTACTTCCTGGTAAATTCCTCATGATTGATCCTTATCCTGGCACGAAGCCGCCTGCAAACTTGAAGCTTTCACATCGTTTTCCTTAAGGCAGAATTTCATCAGTTTCAATCTGCTGCAGGACCAACATCAATGATCACGATAAATCTGCCGCACTTCCTCCCGAGCTCAGTTCTTTCTGCCCTTTTCAAAGTTGGATCTCCGCAAAGCTTTTTCTTGCTCCGAGACAGGCTCACATATAACGTGACTCTCCCTCCCACCGAGAGGCCCTGCTCTTTTGGGGTCCTGGGAATGGGGAGCAGATGCTGGAGGGATCATCAGGTAGCGGACGACCTGAGGGTGGAGAGATGATGTCTTCTCACAGTCCTCGGACAAACATGTCCTCGGGTCCACCATCCAAGGCCAAGAGGGATTTTGATGTAAAAATAGGATATTGTTTTTTGACCCAAGATGGATGACGCATTTCCACTTCCTCCCACTGTCCACAAATGAAGCCAGATACTGAATATACAAACACAGTCATCCCACTCGACATACTGTCAACATACTCGATGAATCACAAGTCGGTCTCAGCTGTGATTCCTGACGATTCACACTCTTTAACGCATCAAATCAAAACTGATTTTCCAGAAAAATGTATTCTAAAGTGTATTTTGACTCTTTAGCTTGGCCCATGTCCCATCTACTAACATGGAGGAGGAAAGATTTATGATCCATACTGCAGGTGGCAATCAAGATGCTTTGGCTTCACTTCTCAGGGAGCCGTCTTGCCGTCCATCTTTATAAACAGTCTATGTTTTTGACATATATTTGACAAGTGATAACAGGAGATAGATAATCAATTAACACAGGATGAAAACTGGAAACATATATTTTTTATTCCATGGGAACGTTTGGGGATCAAAAAAAGTAATTTCCAAAACTTGGAGCAGTGAGAGTTTCCTTTCAAGCCACTGCAGGTAACGTGATCCATGTTTGTATTTGCATGGCTGGCATACCTCTGCGACTTTCACTTATGTCTGTGGTTCACACCTACAGCTTTCACACAAGTCGCATTGTGCACCAGCTCAGTCAGACTGAGCCCGGGCTTCTGTGTGCGTCCCGCTAATTCGTTTATATTTTGACACTGCAGAGGTGGATGGAAAGTTTGCTCTCACAGTTTGAGCTTTCAACTGGTCAGTCCATTATTGTGTTTTTGGAAGAAGTGAATCCTGGAGACGCAGCTCTCCAAATACTTTAGTGTGTGTTTTTTCAAGGATTCAAAAACAACTGTTTTCCTGCAGAGATGCACACACTTTAGAGGATTACTCAAATATTCCATTAAAACAGCAAGGAAGCTGCGTACCCTCATGTACATGTGTTGCAATTAGTGAATTTGAACGCATTAAAGAAAAACATGGGTAATTCTTGCCTTATTTTTATCTTGTGGTGTTTTCCATGACCAGCTGTGATAAGCCACTGGGCTTTCAGGGTGTGTGTGATGTGCAGTGAGCAGTGAGGTCATTATCAAACCTCCAGAGGAGCGAAAAAGGTCTAATTCATTCAACATCCAGGAGCCTCGGTGGCCCAGTCAAACCTGAAGCAGGTTGAAAGAAAACCAAAGGATGAACTGAGGTCTCATCCCTCATGTATTTAAAGTATATCCTGTTTTTCAGGATGTGTAATACAAGAGTGTGATATTGAGCTTCATCATTCACATTCAGAACGCAGCTGTTTAACTGGCGGAGAGCAGGAGTACGAGGAGAATTACATCATTCTGACTGTTACACAAGCTTACGAGCATTACCTAGATAATGAGGAATCATACACGTGACATTATTGAAAAAGGTCAGAGGATCTAAAAGCTGAAAGGATTTGTCATCAGAAGACCATGAATATATGTCTGAATTCATCTGATACCATTTGAAATACTGTGATTTAACCAAAGTGGCCGAATGACCGATATCGCCATCCCTAGTGGCTAAAAACAAGAATATGAGTTTCTACTAGAGATGCTCGGATACCATTTCTGATTCCGATGCCTTGACTTTGTCTATTGGCTGAGACCAGTGTAACAAATAACAACTTATATAAGGTATTTTAATGTTGTGTGCTACTTTTCTCTATAAACAGATTGTGTATGTGAATATGCAGAAGCCTTTTTATTTCCATTTCTAATTTGACCATGTTTATGCAGGCGTTGGTTGCCCACAGGTAAACAGTCCGTCTGGAAAATCTCTAGTTTCTACTGCTTCAAATCTAAATCAGAAAAGGCATTGGTGCCATTAAAACAAAGAAATACAGAACTGAGCCTAAAATAGACACGAGCACCTGGAAATTAAACAGACCAGTAATTGCACTTGAGGGAATTGAGTTGACTCAGACTTCGTATTTCTGCAGAAATAGCAGCTAGCACATATTTCACCTTTCTCAATTTGAACAGCAATGTTCTCATTATGTAACAAGAAAATGGAAACTTTTGTGAAACTGGAGAGGCCTGAAATGCACCAGATTCAAAGTACAGCCGAGGTGACGAAGTGCCTGCAGGGACCAAACCAGTGATTGATTAAACAGGTACAGATATTTTTGAGAAAAGCTCCAGAGTCGGAGGGAAGGCTGTGAGGATGCACAGATTTGAAAGTGCTTGATTGGCTGCTGAGACCTCTCCCCGTCGTTACTTGAACTAAGAGGCTGATATTTTGGTCAATATTTATTGGGCTGAAACCAAAATCCAATTATCGTCAAATTCTACTGTCAGGCCTCATTATTTTATTCAATGTGAATCGAGTGACTTCCTCCAGGTGGGCACAGAACCAAAAATAAATCATTCGTCAGTTTTCACTGTTCTCTCTTTATATTTTTATGACTGACGAGTGTAGAGCGGGTTTTTTTTGGCGGCTGGGTGGTCCGCGCCCTCTGGCGTCCCATGGTGGCTCGTTAGTGATGGTTTGGCTTCGTTGTAGAAGGTTTGATAATGTAGCTGCACTTTAACGCAACAAAACTTGGAGCCAGAGAATGACACGATATGAAGAACAGCCAGAGTGACTTTCTTCTCTGGGATGAATGAGGGCTTGTTAGCAGTTTGCCCTCCGTCCTTCTGCATTCATAAACATCACAAACAGTTTTTTTACTATGGGAAAGTTTATTGTTAATTTGTTCTAAGCTGAGCATTTCTTGCCACTTAATAAATTTTTCCTTTCAATTGTTTGGGAAACTGTTGTTTATAGTTTACTGTTTACATTAGGAAGTAATGCTATTGAATGACTTAATGGTGGAGTCATTAAATGTGTGCGCCTGTTTTATGTGTTGCGTGCTTGCCTACATGCGTGTGCGGCGTGTTTATGTGTGCGATGGGGCACTGTGGGGGCAGCCAGAAGAAGAGCTGGGCCTCCAAATATTGACTAAGTGTTACCTCAGAGTTTCTCAGGGTCAGACCTCACAAAACCCCCGGTGCTCCTTTAAAAACCCAAAATAACCCACAACTGCATTCCTGCCTTTCTCTCTCCTGAGACGCTCACACCAGACATAACAGTGTTTCAACTGTGTATTGAAAGAAAAGGACTGTTAGCACCTTATCACTGCTGTGTGTGTGTGTGTGTGTGTGTGCGTGTGTGTTTGAAAGTTGTGTAAGTTTGTGGGACAGATGTTAACACTACCTGTTACTCGCTAAACATTTTGAAAGAATTAAACTGGGGCCTCATTAGTATTTATTGAATAATAATTAAACATGTAGATAAGGCTGCATCCTGCTTTTCATGACTCTTTAAAACAACATGTCTGCTCAAGCGCTGCTATTCTGTTTCGCTGTCATTCAATCTGATGCTAGTACAATTTACCAAAAGGGGAAATCCAATTCTCATTCTGTTGGGACTTTTACAGGATCTAATGTCTCTGTCCTCTCATCACAAACTGCAGGATTGTGTCAAACTCCACCAGCAGCAGATACCAGGCGTCAGAGGTGTCAGTGATACACATGATTTTGTGCTCTGCTGCAAAATCCCCTAATTTTTGGTGCATGTCTTGAAATGCACAAAAATTCCATGAAACATTTATATCTGCACTCGTGGACATATGAGAAATAACAACTGTAATGAATAATGGACTCATCACCTGTAAGAGCAGAACGTTCAAGTGGGTCTGTGGTTGAATTGATAATTTTCCATCTTCCAGGGCTGTTATCAATGGTCGCAGACTAAAATGCATCAAGACGTGATTGGATGGAGCAGCAACCAACCAGAGCGACAACAAACACTGTAAGTGCAGGTGTTGGCTCTTCTTTTAGAGAATACATATTTTACAGCTTTCCGACATTCCTTTATTTGTGTCTTATCAAATCAAAGTTTATTGTCACATGCACCAAATAACTTAGCGTCATCAGAGCAGTGAAATTCTTGTGACCTGGCAGGCAACATCTACGCAGTAGACGGGAAAATACAAGACAAGACAATAACATTTAACATAACATTTAACATACAACATAGTAACATATAACTTTTAACATATAACATAGTACAACAGTTTAAATCTGAATTTAAATGAAGGGCTAGCAGCGGTTTACAGGGTGAAGGAGTGCGGGATATTAAATTAAGTATTAAATTAAATAATATATGTGTAGTAAGTGTAGTTGTATGAATGAGGGAGCAGAATGTACATGATGATGCGACTGTTCAGTGGGTCAGTGTTGCTGGTTCAGAAGCCTTACGGCCTGGGGGAAAAAGCTGTTTGTGAGTCTGGTAGTCCGTGCTCGGATGCTCCGGTAACGTCTTCCAGACGGCAGCAGTGTGAGGATTCTATTGCCTGGGTGGCTGTGGTCCTTTATGATGTTCCGTGCTTTTCTCAGGCATCTTGTGTTGTAGATGCCTTGCACGGAAGGGAGATGGCAGCCGATGATACGCTCCGCTGTCTTCACCACCCTCTGCAGGGCCTTACGATCAGCAGCGGAGCAGCTACCATACCAGGCAGTAATGCAGCCTGAGAGGATGCTCTCAATGGTRCATCTGTAGAAGTTAGTTAAAGTTTTGGCAGACATGCCAAACTTCTTGAGTCTCCTCAGGAAGTACAGGCGTTTTTGGGAAGTTTTGACCGCCGAGTCCTGACCTGAGCCTGATGACTACGAGCATGTGCAGTGCAGAAAAAGAAGTTGACAGTAGCCCAATGGGTCCCGATGTGTCCTGATGGGCTCGGGTCTGGTATCAACACTTTAGACCCTGTGTAACTGATTCATTAAGAACCGCCACCACATCAAAACAGCTGTTGTGATGCACGCTCACATTCCTCAGAGCCGTGTCACTGAGGTATCCATGGGAAAATAGATTTTTATTATTATTCTAGAGACATTTTAGCTGTCATCACACTGTCTTATTTCTCCAAACAATAACATAGCAACAAAGCATCGAGTGGCAGCAGAAAAAAAAAAAAAAATCATTAGTCTGGGATGTGAAACAGCGTCTGACAAATTCATGTCAGTCAGAGGACAGAGGTTCAGACTTGTCGGATCATGTCTGTCCACAGCTTCGCTCTCTCTCTCTCACATGAACGACACCAAAACAAACACGTCTTCAGATGAGTTCTCACCCAAAAAATCATTAGCGGACTTCTTCCACCTTTGCTTGTCTCTGGTTTTCGTCCTGATCTGGCTCTTTGTGAAGCTTTGTCACATTGTGATGTTGGCGATGTTGACATACCTTCAGATTTACTGCCTCCTCCAGCCTCTGTGATATAAAAAGACTGTAATAAGGGCTGAAGCAGCTGGGAGAACATCTCTTCGCACGCTGTTTATCGCTCAGGGCATCGCACCTTGTTATGAAGCATTACAGTACAAATTAGCATCCAGAGGAACACAGAGTAATTTGTGTAAATTTGACTGTTACCTAGCAACTTTATACAACATGCATGAGAGTTTTATCATCTCCGCCAACAAGGAGGTTATGTTTTCACCCCCTGTCGGTTGGTTTGTTTGTCTGCTGTTATCAGTCTAAATTAGGTGGAGGAAAATGCTTCCCACATTGTTGATGCTAACTGAAATAAACAACCTAACCCTGAGGGACTCCCATCAGCAGCAACAGATTACAAAAATCCAAAGCTCTGCCAATATGTTCAGTTGCAAACACTTCACAGATGCTAAAAAAAAGTCACGCTGACGTTTATAAAGTCATGTGGTCTTGAGATTGATTGATGGTACGTCAGGACTACGAATCCTCGGAGTTAAAGGAGCCGTTCCGGCCTGGTTCACTTTTATCATGAGAATGTCTTTGGCAACTCTCCGACGACTCGAGCATCTCACGGCGGAGCTTCGTGACTGAGCTGCTTTGAAAGAATGTAAACAGAGGACGGAAAACACTTGTTTTACTTTGACCCTTAGAATTTTAAAAATTGCCGCTTGTCAGATAAAATTCACAGTCCTCATCGGCTTTGTCCGAATCGACGTGTGAGTGAGAATCCTCCGCAAACAACATCGAGTGAGCTGAAACGCAGATGTCACCATTCACCTCCCACCACCTTTAGGTTTTGTTTTGAGTCTGAATCACACGTGCACACGCCATGCAGCGCCGTTTTATGATGAGCTGTAAAAAAAGCACCACCTGTTCACCTCAGCAGACATCTTTGCTGCCCTTCATCCTAAAGTTACCATGTACAGTGTTTTTTTGTTTCTCGAGATTTTCTGACTTCTGAGGGTTTTTTCTGTCTCGCTAAATGCTTGAATTTCTGCTCCATCCCCCCTGTGAGACTGATACTCTTGGGAATACTCGAGAATCTCCAGCTCCGACTGTCTGGCTCAGTCTTTGTCCCTCGTTGTCATCATCACCGTCATCGAGCCACTGTCGCCTCTCCAAGCTTCTGTCTGGAGCCGTGCACGGCTGAGCTTCACTTCTGGGTTGTCACCGCTCGCCAAAAAGTGGATTCCAGCACTGAAGCTTTCCCACTACGTGAGCCAATAAACAAACAAAGTTGAATATGACACAGAATATTCTAAGGCTTTTTTTTTCACCTCTAACACGTCACTTTCCTAACTGCGTGTCCTCAAATGCAGAGGAAACATGAGGTGTAGACAGTGAATAATCTCATATGTCACGGTTTATGGAAATCAAAGTTAAATCTCGACATTTCCCCAAAGTTTTCCATGAAGACTCTTCATTTTGACGCAGCTCTCCTCCATCATCCCTGCGTAGTGTTTCGAAGTGGAACTAACTGCCGACGGCTGGAGCTCCAGTGGAAAAGCGTCGGTGTTGTTGCAGAAGCTGCGTCTCCTTTCTGGTTACAATTAAATGATTTATAATCTGGCTGCTCGTCCGCTCGGTATCTGGGTTTCTTCTTCTTTCTTTTCCCCTTTGCTCTCACACAGACCACTGTACACTGGTGGAGAGGATGTGTGTGTTGTTTGCCAGCTTAAAATTTGTTTGTCAACCGCACAAGGTCATTTCCAGTTTAAAGTCTTCCAATGAGTTTCACTGAAGTACCAAACTCTCCGATGGGTTAACTCAGTCATGATGGAAGAGAAGGAGAAAACATACATATATAATATTTATAAATATATCTCTTCCTGCTATTGTGCATCTGAGGTTTTTTTTCAATCCAGTGAAATCTTATATAGATGTAGCTGGACCACGATTTTCAAATAATAGAGACCTCTGCTGCTCTTTAAACAATCAATTGTGATTGAGGAAGAAATTTAAGATGTAATATGAAACAATTCTTCATTCGAATGTTGAGAAATTACCATGTTAAATATATTTCCAACAATGTTCAAACCCAGAGAAAATACTCATGTTTTATTCGACGTAACGAGACGTTACGTAGGAAAGACATACGGCTAACCAGTTAGCCCGTCGGGTGTTGTCCTTCCACTGTTTATTGGTCACTCATAACATAAGTGTAATTTTAGCCAATTTCTATAATTTCCCAACAAACACGTGATTCTGACTCACAGCTCCTCAACAATGTTGCGGTCAGCAGCAGGAAAATCAGTCACGTAGTTGATCTGTTATCTTAGATGCACAATGGAGGAGTCCAGCGTCTGAGCGTTTCCTCCATAGGCCACAGTTGAGTCATGTAGTCGACCAGTTCTGTTATTTAGCCGAGACGGAAGCACTCTTCCCTGATCATTGCCAGAGTCTGGGATACTTACAGACTGATAAGACGTACTTTCCCACTATCAGATGCAGCCTAATTGCTCTGAGGTTATTTCTGTGTCTGAGGGGTAGAGCCGCCTCGTCAGTGCATACCACTGCTAATTTACCCGAGCAGCTCTGCCCCAGATATTTGGTCCCAGAGCTGCAATGACATTTGAAAAAAAAAAAAAAAAACAGGATGACATGACAGAAATTAAGCGTTCACACATTCTCAAGGCTAATGTTACATTGGAAGTACAATTTTCATGTCTGGGTTTCACATTGTTCTGTCTAATATCTGCAGGTCCAAACCCACCTTGGCCTGGTTCTGTCAGGGAGGATTAAAACGGTACGGAAAAGATTCCTAAGTAAGTAAAGGATGCTGTGACAAAACTGGGTGAAGTTCCCCTAAGCGCTCTAAAGTGTTGTTGCATAATGGTCCTAATGCATCACAGGAGCTGGAGAAAATCACTGTATCACTGCCCAGACCGGACAAGTATGCTTTGATGCAGGGAGGCCGCCTCCGAGAAAAATGGAGGTTCCAGGCTCAGTCAGCACTTCCACTGATCCGCCTGCTATTATGAAACACTTGAGGCTTCCTCCGCAGAGACATCACTCACATTTTCATCGAATTATTCATTTTGTAAGAAAAATATAACATCTGGGCAGTTTGAAATGTATAAATACTGTTTTTTTTTTTTAAAATTACATAACAAGATTAGACGCAAGTGACCTAAAAGGTTATATCAGCTGTGAATCTTCTCACCACCACCGTTTGCAGTCGTGCAGGTGCACTGCTTGAGTTAAGACTTAATTAAACAGCTAAATAAAGACGATGTTCGCCCACTGTGCAGGTTAACGGGTTCAGGGGGAATAAAGAGAACAAAAAGTTTGCTTCATCCTTCGAGTTATCTGATGTGACGCTGGTTCCAGAAACAACAGCAGAGCAGGAGAGACGATGGCGGATCATGTCTGCTCCCGGTGAAACCTAAATCTCTGCCTCTCTGTGCTGCGTCTCCATTGGTCTCCACCGCGGCTCATACATGTGCGTTGGCCAATAAAGAGTCGGCGTCGGTATCGTGCCGCTGTGGTACTCGTTGTTCTCCACACACACACACGCAGCAGGAGGAAGAAAGAAGTAAACTTGGAGCAGCTGCCCTGTTGGCCAGGTCCGCCTTGTAAATGAGATGTGGAATCTCAGTGAAATTGTACCTGATTACGTAAAGGTGGTCTACGTAACCGCTGCGGCTGATGCTTTTAATTGTTGTGAAATACTTTACTTAATTGTTAGACATTTATTACATTTATTAAATCATAATATGGATTCAATATCACAGACTTTAAACAATCACGTCTCTGTACAATGGAAATTTGGTTGATAATATCTAAGTTTGCAGTTAAAGGGTCAGTGTGTATGTTTTGTTTAATGAGAATATATAATTACACTGAGCCTGATGCCAAGAATTACACATAATGTATTCATACATCATTAACAGATATGGACAGACATGTACTTTTACATGTATGTCCTATTATCCCATAATAACACGTGTGCTCATGAGTGTGTGAGAAGCGGATGAAATTTACGTAATTGCTTCCACTACCACATGGATCCGAGACGTCAGGGTCACCTCGCTCTCACCCGCTGAGAGTCCAATCTCGCTGTCACACAACAGACTTCGGTGCAGATGCTGCACAGTGAGCTCGTGGAAACATGATCTTCATTTTGCGTTCAATTATTGTCAGGACGGGCCGAGCTAACGGCTAACATGTGTGAAACCAGTAAGACGCAGTGTAAGTCTGTCGCAGCAGATAGAGCGGTGGTCTGATGCACGAGCTGGAGCTGCTGCAGACGTCTCGAGACGCTCAAGGACTCCGAGCTGATGACGGGGTTTGAATCTTACGTCTTTCCCTCATCAGAGATCGAGAACATTATAAGCTCCACCAGGGAGGTTATGGTTTCACAGCCGTCCGTCGGTTTGTTGTCCGGTTTGTTTGTCTTTACTCAATGGATGGATCGCCACGAAATTTGGAGGAAGGATGGGTCATTGGCCAAAAAATCAATTCAAAGATAGTGAAATCTACAAAAATAAGTCATTCATTTTAAAACTTGATTCATTCAGGTCAGTTTACACATCATGAGGAGTTGTGTAAACTCTGTTGCTTCACTCTACATCTCATTTCAATTTCATTCGTCTCGAATAACGTCTGTCCTCTACCTTTGTCCGTATAAAGATAGGAGCTGAAATATCTTCTATTATTTCATGTTGACATCACGATTTTCTCAATAGGAAATCAAAAAAAGATTTATCTCTGATGGATTTGTATTTTCTCAGAAGCTTCTTCTTCCTCTTCTTCCTCCTGAGCGTGCCAGAGGACGTGCAGGCCCCTGGAGCAACACTGGGCCCTTCTCATTTTTACTTTGTTTCATAGAAAAAAGTTGGACGTGTTACCTCGTTTTTTTTCCATGTGGAAACTTTTTTCTGGCACATTTGCAGATCATCAGCTTTTTAAACCAAATCCACTTCCAGAGGTTTGACAGCTTTAATGTGATTTTCCTTCATCGCGTTCTGAACCATTTAGTCCTAATTTGATGGTTTGTAGCGCCCCCCCCCCCCTCCTCCTCTTCCTCTCTGCTCTGTTCACACTTTATAATTTGGAGTTAAAGCCACTTTTCTCTAGACTCTGGAGATAAAACTTGTAGATTGAGGCTTGAGAAACTTTTTTAGAAAAATCATTCAGAATTGTTTTAAACCTTCAGAAATGTCAGATACAATCTTATTTTCATTTGAGACTCTCTTGTTTTCCAGAGGTGATTATTTTTTGTGCAGATCACATGCACTTGTGTGTGCACATCTGGCTGCTGTGCACAGCACTGTTCTGCAGCCTTTTGGCCATCTTCGTGTGACTGGAACTTTGGTCTTTATGACCAGCCCACTTTATACTTCTGCCATTTAATATTATCCTGTTTTGAAGTGATAATGAGATGGTTACATATTTTGAGATTGGGGTTAATTAATTAGTTCACCGTGTTGTTTTGCCTAGTCTGTAATAATTTACTTTTACTGCACCGACCAAATATGTAGAATTTGAATTAGGAAAATAAATATTTTACATAAATTGTCAATTTAAATGCACATCTTTTCTGTATTGTTAATTTTGAGTAATAAAAATGTTATATATCAGCAACATAAACACTGAAACCAATTTTTCTCAAAAAATCTTTTTACCAGCCAACCGATAAATAAGTCCGGCTCAACCTTAACTTTAACAAACAGGAAAGAAAGCAAAAGATTATGTGGAGATGCACTTTTAGTCAGTAATCTAGGGCAGCGTCATTTCCCTGCGTGTCATGTCTGCACTTTTGTGACCACATAACACAGTCTGCTTTTCCACAGTCCCCGTCCTGCGTCCTGAATCTCTTACTTATTTGAGTCAGCGCCTCCATCTGTTAGATCCCCTCTTCAGAAAAACAGCCTCAGGTGAAATGGCACACAGTGTATGTGCCAGACGAGGATGCCTTGGATTACGGGCAGCTGCTGTGTCGTCTAAACGCTGCATCTGGACGAGATAAGGGAGAACGCATAGAAAACAGCATGAATCCTGTTTTGTGATACACGTCTTTAGCTTTGGGATCATATGTGAACGAACGGCATCTTTAAACACTTTGAAATGTTGCATTGGTCGAATTGTACTTTATCTGACAAACAATCATTATCAATGGAGATTTAACTACGTTTCAATGTCCACATTAGAAAAGTTGCACTAATGCTTTTCTGTCACTGCTTCTCCTTTTTATCCAACACTAAACTAAAACTTCATCCTCCAGTGAGCACACAGTGGAATCCAGTCAAACACACACGTCAAACACTTCCCCATGCTGAGATAATTGTCTGTGGCTTTTGCCTCAAACTTCCAGCAACATCTGACAGAGCTGGGTTTCTTTGGCGGCGTGGTGCAGTGGGTGGCCGCGGTCAGAGCGGACTGAGCTCTGCAGCGTGTGTGCAGATGACAGCGCTGTGAAGCAACACAGGCAGGAGATAAGTGTGTCCAGACAAACCGAGTGGGGGGGGGGGGGGGGGGCAGACGTCCCTCCCGCTCCCTGAGTCCATGCATCTGTCTGATTAGATTGCGGAGGAAGCCGTTTGAGTAAACACGAGTCGCCATGGTGACCTGTATCGCATCTCCTCCATCAACAAAGTGTTTTTTTTTTACAAGATTGGAGTTATTTTTCAGATGGTTTGAGAATAGGGGAATTTGTAGGCGTTTAGTCCACAATGTGTTTCACTTATCGCTGCTTCATACAGATGTTTGACCTTCACAGTGCGGAAAGATGAAGGTGCAGAGTTTAACTAGTCCATCTGTTGGAGGGGGGGAGCGGGGGGGTGGTGTTACAAGGTAGTTGTTTTTTTTTGTTGTTGTGGAAAATCAATTTCGGAGAGTTATGTAACGTCTTGAAACTTTTCTGGTGGGAGATCTTTAACCTTTCGTTAACGACAAGACAGTCTGTCCAGTTCAGCTCAATCCAGTTAATATCGCCATCGTCCCAATAATCTTTTAGCGGCAAGGCAAAAAAAAGAAATCTGTAACAAAAAAGTGATGAAAAAAGATCCTGATGTTAAAATTCTCTCCTAATTTTCTTGTTTTTTCCAGAAAAATACTGGGCCTGGAAAATGACCTCATGTTTTGATTCTAGGAGGAAGATTAAAAAAATAATTTTAGTCGTAGATATCTGGGAAAACAAAGAAGAAAAACAGAGAGAAGATTTGGCGGCTTGTTGTCAGTGTCTGCCAGGCAGTATAAAGCACATTGACTGGATTTACGGTGCAGGCAGACGATGTTTTTATTGTCCGAACCAACGACGGTTTCCTTATTATGACCAAAGTCAGATGGCTGGAAAAGAAATTGCTCCAGTTTTACTGGTGTGAAGAATTTGTTTTTCAGGTTTGTCTTTCAAACACTCCGTCACAACAATCAATATTTTCCTGCAGCCAGAACATGAAATACAGCTTCGCTTCAAGACCAAACAGGGAAACAATTTGGCTTCAATCATGAAGCCAAAACATTTGTTTTTGTCAGTCATCGTCCGGCCTCGTCTTCTGACGGGCCTTATCTGAAGTTTGACGTGCGTGTATGTGCTGTGTTTACAACGTTGAACAGCCTAAACAGGAAATGTTGGTTTCCTGTCACGTTGAGATGATTGACAGAGGAACTGATCCTTCACAAGTTGACGAGAGAGGAAAACTGTTCACACATATAAACAGCTGATAAACCAAGTTGAACACATGACACTGTAGATAATAATGATGCAGCAGAACAAAAACAAGGAAAGCCAAAGCCTCTTGTGCCTCTTGTGTTTTAATAAATAATCAAATAAATAAATAACATAATATTACTTACGTCATGTGACGGCCTCGTGCGTAGCAGTGTTGTATTAGCAGCGATAATAGGATCTGAAGAAAACATGATGATTTTTTGTTTTCTGTCTTGTACCTGATGCCAGCACAGTTTTTCAGCTGTGGTTTTGTTATATAAATCGTAGTGGCTCGTAGAAAAAGGCCAAAGGGATCTTTTTTCCCCAGACTTCTCTTGTTATTACATTACATTTAAATGTCATTTTATTTGAGTCGGGCAGAAATGAAAATGATTTCCTCTTGAAGTGTGTTTTCCTTCCATTCGCTTTCTCCAAAACATATTCAGAGATCCAGTCTGTGAAGTAAAGCTTGTGCATTAGTTCTCTATCTTTGTGGATGTCAAACTAAAACATAAGTGCCACATTAATAGATGAACTATGAGACAATGCACAGACAATTAAAAGGCCCTTTGCTGTTGGCAAAAGACACTCAGATTGAAAAAGTCATTTTACAAGCAAACCTGAAATCTCTGTGAAACACAACAGCAACTCAGAAACGTCATTTGTTGTCATTTGTGTGTCCTTGTTTGGCGTGTGGCTGTAGTCATTTGGGATTTTGTGGTTATTTGCCTTTTTTGTGTCGTCATGTTTCTTCTTTGTGGTTGTTTCATGTCTGTTCGTAGTCATTTCCTGTCTTAGTAGTTCTTGTGTCTCTTTGTGGTTGTTATGCATCACTTTGTAATGGAGCGCAACCTGTATGGAGTTTAGGGGGCTGACGCCAATACCGATATTAAGGAGTACAAAATGTCAGCTATTTATAAATATATCT